CCTGGTCCAAGTACTTGGGAGGCTGAGGCAAGAGGATTCATCATAAGTTCAAGAACAGCATGGGCTACACAGTGAGTTCAAAGCCAGCTTGAACTACACAGTGAGACCCTGTCTCAAAAAAAAAAAAAAAAAAGTAACTTGTATTAATTGCAGGATGTCTCACTAAATTTAATATTAAAATATTTATACAAATTTTCCTCCTCCTGTATGTATGTACTGCTGGCAGGCTGTGTGTATTAGGGATGTGGAGGGTTGGACAGCAGTCGTTTACTGAGCCCCTATTACACACCAGGCTGTGTCACATCAACTAATCCCATCACTGTTTCATTTTATGGAGAAACTGAGGTTTGGGGAGTTTATGAAATAACTATGAGTCAGGTCTGTGTGATTCCTTTGCAGAAGAGAGCATGGCCAATCACACAAATTTATTACAAGTTTTCTTTCTCTTTCCTTTCTATCCCCATCAAAAATGCATGCAGAACCCACATTGCCACCCTGTGCCTCCAGGAAAACAAGCTCAGCGGTTTGGCCTCACCCTCTGCTTTGTCAAAGAGGTTCAGTCTCTTCCCCCCTGCTCAGTGTCCCCTCCTGCCTGACCTACTAAGATGCATCCCAGGAGGATGCTGAGGGCAGCGGCCACCAAGGCCCAGCACAAGGCTGTCTTGTCCGCTCCCTGTCAGCAGCCCTCAAGCTCCTCCAGATTTCCCAGAGCAGTCACTGTGTCCACCCCACGTCCCTTCAGTGTGTTCTTCCTGTCTGAGTGCAGTGGGACTGGCCTGGCTTCCATGCCCCAGATGCCATCGTTGCTCTAGCTGGGCTGAGGGAAGAATGGTGTAAAGTTCAGAACAGGGTTCGCCAGGGTCCCAACAAATTGGGGAAACACAGGAAGAGGCTCCAGAAAACTTAGGAGATGAGGCTAAAGTTCTGATCTAGTCATCTAGCTCCACAGCCTAAGCCTACAGGATTTGAGGACTTTTCTAATTCTAGAAGGACAGGGATTGGGTAATTCCCAAAACTTCCCTGCCCCCAGTGAGTCTGAAAACAAAATCATCCCTTGCCCACAGTTTGGGCCTAAAGTAATTGATATATAACAAGTAGTATGTGCGACAATAGTGACACTAAGAGGGCTACAATGACTGTGCATTGAGATTACCTCTCGACCATAGGCTTGAGAGTTTGGGATAACTTCC